AAAGTGTTTTGCTTCAGCAAAGTGTTTTTCTTCAGCATTTCATTTTCTTGGTGGTTCCATTGTCCAACTATTCAAGCTCAGATCTAATGAAATATTTGACTATTTTGTTAATTTATTTTGATTATCTGGTTACATCGTTATTTCTTAAATATTCCTATTTGAGGCCTTATTTTCTTGAAGTACATAAATGATGCAATTAAGAAAAAAAAATTATAGAGATTAATCTATGGGTTGAAGAGTTTACATCCTCAAATTTAGGGTCATAAAATTAATCATAGATGAGATTGTATTCGAGAGAGTACATAGACATTATAGTCCAGTTGGAGTGTACTGTCTTTTGTCTTACAACATTGTGAATGCAACATTGTGAATGCACTTCTTGATTGTAATCTCTTCATTGTGTCCTTGTTTGCCTATATAAAAGAAGGTATTTGCTTTACGTTTGGTTATGCTCTTTGCTTATTTTTTTAGACAATGAGTTCGTTCTTTTTGACTGGTGACAGTGGAAGGTGAAGCGCACAATAGGGGTAAATTTTTTCTTTCTTTCTTTTTTTGGGTAAATCTATGCCTATTTTTTAATAAATGTCTTCTCCAAACAGGTCCAAGATTTCATTCTGTATCCAAGCATAGAAACCCCTTCCCAACCGTCCATTTCATTCTGTATCCAAGCATAGCAACCCCTTCCCAACCGTCCCATATTGACAGATCTCTCTCTTCCCAACCGTCTCTATATTTATCTATATATATTTCGCATTAATAGTCATGATTAATTGTGAACACTTTATACTAAAGTAAAAGATCTCATTCTATACTTTTCTGTATATATATATATATATATATATTGTTAAAGTTCGAGAGAGCATGCACAGGACATTAAATGTGAAGAGAAGAAAAGTGATAACACAAGATTTTCGTGGTTCAGCTTGTTCAGGCCGAAGCCTTACGTTCACGGATACAACGGCCTAAAGGTTTTGCCTTACGTTCACGGATCCAAAGGCCTGTAGGTTTTTCTTTTGGGGCAGGAGGTTTTCTTTTCTTTTATGCGATAGGGCATTTGAGGCAGGAGGTTTTTTTTTTTGCGCGGCATTGCCTGGAGATTTTTGAGCGGTAGGGCACTTGGGGTGGAGGTTTTCTTTTATAGGGCATGACACTCTGTTTGAGGGATAAATTTATACCCCAAGGCACTTGGGGCCGGAGGTTTTCTTTTATGCAGCATGGCCCCGGAGGTTTGGTTTTCTTTTGAGTGATAAATTTACGCGGCAACGCACTTGGGGCCCGAGAGGTTTTTTTTATGCGGCATGGCCCCAGAGTTTGGTTTTCGTTTGAGCGATAGATTTACACGGGAAGGCACTTGAGGCAGGAGGTTTTCTTTTGCTCTGATACCATGTTAAAATTCTTGCCCAGAGGTTTTAGTTTGCTCTGATACTATGTTAAAATTCTTACAATAAGTTTTCTTTTGCTCTGATACGATGTTAAAATTCTTGCCCGGGTTCGGAGGTTTTCTTTTGATCTGATACCATGTTAAAAATTTTGCCCAGAGGTTTTCTTTTGCTCTGTTAAAATTCGTGGGATTATACATGGAAATAGATTTACGTGGTTTAGGTCGAAGTCTTATGCAAACAAATCGAAAGCCCTAACTGGCTACATCTTCACTATTTTTGGATAAAAAAGTACATGCCTCTATATGTATATATATAAGACAATCACAATGAATCTTGGAGATAGAGGAACATAATATGAAGCTTATCACCAATAACCAATTTGACTTGGTCTATTTTCATCATATATATATATATATATATATATATATATATATGAGAAAAAATCTCCATATCCCTATTTCATTTCTCGGTAAACCCAAGGTTTCAAAAGATATCTTCTCTCTTTCTCTCTTTCTGCATCTCTCATCTTTTTTTCTCTCGTGTTTCTCCAAACACCTCTCTCTTTCCTCCCGGTAACCTCTCACCTATATGAAGCCCTCCTCTCACTCCTCTCGGTAACCTCTCACCTATATGAAGCCCTTCTCTCTCTCTCTCTAGAAGTATAAGAGGATGGCTTTGAGAAAATGCATGTCTTTTTAGATTTATTTGGCCTAAAAAAACATGTTTAAATTTGCTCAGGGGGTTAGAAGAAATAAAATGTACAATTTTTATGCCTCAAGATATCTTTTAAAACCTTTGACTTATTGTGAAATGAAACCTAAAAATATGAAGTATATATAAAATGACCTTGTGAGACCCTCTCACACCCATGTGTATAGGACCCCAAAAGATCATCATTAAATTTGATACATATCTCTAGAAAATTTATGACATAGGTGTAGGACTTGATTGTATAGGAGCCC